TGTGTCTTCTTCAATTTCTTTCATAAGTTTTCTATAGTTTTTATCATACAGATCTCTTGTATCCTTGGTTACGTTTATTCCTAGGTATTTTATGTTTTTTTGTGCAATTGTGAATGGTATCAGTTTCTTGATTTCTCTTTCTGTTGCTTTATTATTGGTGTATAAAAATGCAACCAGTTTTTGTACGTTGATTTTGTACCCTGCAACTTGGCTGAATTCTTGGATCAGTTCTAGTAGGCTTCTGGTGGAGTCTGTCGGGTTTTCTATGTAGAGTATCATGTCGTCTGTGAAAAGTGAAAGTTTGACTTCTTTGACGATTTTGATGCCTTTGATTTCCTTTTTTTCCTGATGGCTGATGCTAGGACTTCCAGCACTATGTTAAACAACAGTGGTGAGAGTGGACATCCCTGTCGTGTTCCTGATCTCAGGGGGAAAGCTCTCAGTTTTTCCCCATTGAGGACGATGTTAGCTGATGGTTTCTCATAGATGGCTTTTATGATGTTTAAGTAAGTTCCTTCTATCCCGACTTTCTCGAGGGCCTTTATTACGAAGGGATGCTGTATTTTGTCAAATGCTTTTTCTGCATCTATTGACAGGATCATATGGTTTTTCTCTTTTCTTTTGTTGATGTGATGTATCACATTGATTGATTTGTGAATACTGAACCAGCCCTATCACCCAGGAATGAATCCCATTTGATCTTGGTGCTGTTGGATTTGATTTGCAAGTATCTTGTTGAGGATTTTTGCATCTGTACTCATCAAGGATATTGGCCTGTAGTTCTCTTTTTTTTGCTGGATCTCTGTCTGGCTTGGGAATCAGAGTGATGCTGGCTTCATAAAGTGAGTCCAGAAGTTTTCCTTCAATTTCTATTTTTTGGAATAGCTTGAGAAGAATGAGTATTCATTCTGTTTTGAATGTCTGGTAGAATTCCCCAGGTAAGCCATCAGGTTCAGGGCTTTTATTTGTTGGGAGATTTTGGATAACTGATTTGATTTCCTCATTAGTTATGGGTCTGTTCAAATTTTCTATCTCTTCCCGTGTGAATTTTGGTAGTGAGTGTGTGTTTAGGAATTTGTCCATTTCTTCTAAGTTGTCCAATTTGTTGGCATATAATTTTTCATAGTATTCCCTGATAATTGCTTGTATTTCTGAGGGGTTGGTTGTAATAAGTCCATTTTCATTCATGATTTTGTCTCTTTGGGTGCTCTGTCTTTTCTTCTTGAGAAGCCTGGCTAGAGGTTTGTCAATTTTATTTTTTCAAAAACCAACTCTTGGTTTCATTGATCTGTTCAATTGTTTCTTTGGTTTCTATGTTGTTTATTTCTGCTCTGAGTTTTACTATTTCTCTTCTTCTACTGGGTTTGGGGTGCTTTTGTTGCTCTGCCTCTAGTTCCTTTAGGTGAGCTGTTAGATTTTGCACTTGTGCTTTTTCTAATTTCTTGAAATGGGCCTGGAGCACAATGTACTTTCCTCTTAGGACTGCCTTTGCCACATCCCATAGTGCTTGGATTGTTGTATTCATTTTCATTTGTTTCCATATATTTTTTAATTTCTTCTCTAATTGCCTGATTGGCCCATTTATTCTTTAGTAGGGTATTCTTTAACCTCCATGTTTTTGGAGGTTTTCCAGACTTCTTCCTGTGATTGATTTCAAGTTTCAAAGCATTATGATCTGAAAGTGTGCATGGTATGATCTCTATTATTTTTTATTTATTGAGTGCTGCTTTATGTCCCAGTATGTGATCTATCTTGGAGAATGTGCCTATACACTTGAGAAGAAAGTGAATTCCATGGCCTCAGGATGTAGAGTTCTAAATATATCTGTCAAATCCATCCGGTCCAATGTGTCATTCAAGTCCATTGTTTCTTTAGTGATTTTCTGTCTGGTTGATCTATCCATTGCTGTAAGCAGAGTATTAAAGTCCCCTACTATTAGCACATTCTTATCTATAAGATTGTTTCTGTTTGTGATTGTTTCAAATATTTAGGTGCTCCCATATTCAGTGCATAGACATTTATAATTGTTAGTTCTTCCTGATGGATAGACCCTGTAATTATTAAATAATGCCCTTCTTCATCCCTTGTTATTGTCTTTAATTTAAAGTCCAGTTTGTCTGATATAAGTATAGCTACTCCAGGACTCCTTCAGCACCTTTCCCTCTCTCTTACTCTTCTGGAATTCCTATTATACGGATATTGTTCCATTTGATTGTATTGCTGAGCTCTCGAACTCTTCTTTCATGTTCCTGGATCAGTTTATCTTTTTCTCAGTTTCTTCTTTTTCTATAATAGTGTCTTCTAAATCACTTATTCTCCTTCCTGCCTCTTCAATCCGTGCATTGGATGCCTCCAGTTTATTATGTATCTCATTTATCACATTTTAAATTCACCATAACTATTTTTAAGCTCGATATTGTTTGTATCCATAGTTTCTCTGATGTCCTCCATGCTTTTTTCAAGACCGGCTATTAATTTTATGATTATTGTTCTAAATTCTTGTTCAGTTATGTTTCTTATATCTGTTTCGAGCCGTTCTCCAGCTGTCATTTCTTCCTGGAATTTCTTTGGAGGAGAGTTCTGCTGTTTCGTCATTTTGGTAAGCTTTCTATCTCTTGTTACTTTTAAAAGTTTGTTGTACACTCGGCCCCTGTGAGTTCTGCTGTATTAGAGAGGGCTCTTTTGACTGTTCAGGGCCTGTCTGTTCAGGAAGTGTTCCTTGGATGGTGTCTCTTGGTTTCTCTTGTTGAGTGTTTGGTTATTTTGTTTCGCTACTGGTAGTGGTATTTGGGACTCTCCACCATGTGTAGTTCTGCTTGTTTCTTGAGGCATCCCTCCATCTTTAAAACAAAGCAAAGTAGCTTGTTGTCTTAAATCCCAAATTTGCGAAATGTGAGAAATAAGCTCACTGACCCAGTCACAGGCGGGATGCAGGGAACCAGAGCACAGTGAAGCGAGGCTTTAAGCAACATTCTTGCCAGGGCAGGTGTGAGCAGGACAGGCACACACCGGGCAGTCGTCAAATGTACTTTTTAAGATTGAGCCATGAATCTCTACAGCAGCTCTCATATACCCACAACTTGTCTGCCACTAGTTTTAAGATTGTCTAAAAAATAACCTACAATAAAAATATCCCAAGACACTTCTCCCTTAAATTTATCTATGGATTTAAATCAATATTAATTAAAACTCCTAGTATGATTTGTATAAATTAACTGATTCTAAATTTTTTACAGATATGCAAAGACACTAGAATAATTAAACAATTTTGAAAAAAAGAACAAAGTGAGAGGCCTTACACCAGCTGATTTCAGGATTCACTATAAAGGTTCAGTAATCAAAACCATGTTACTAGAGGAAAGAGACTTATAGATCAGGAGGAACAAAACAGAATCCAGGAACAGATTCATACTTTTAGTGATAATTCACTTTCAACAAAGTTACCTGGGTGAGTCAATGGACAAAGGATGGTCTTTTCAGCAAACGGTGCTGGAACAGTTGGATAAATAAGACATGCAAAGACAAACAAATTTGATGCTTACCTCACTCTATATACAGAAATTTAATTCAAAATGGATCTTAGGCATAAAAGTAAAGTCCTTACGACACAGAGAACGAAACAAAAAAAAATAGAAAAACCTCACCAATATTAAGGAAATTAACAGGTAAGCTACAGATGGGAAAAAATATTTGCAAACCGTATATATGATAAAGAACCTGTATCTAACATATATAAAGAACTCTTACAACTCAATAAGACATTGCAGAAATCTGGCAGCAAGTACCTTCTTAAATGTTATTCCCTGTGTGCTGTACTTGCCTTGTCCCATTGGCCCTTGCAGACAAAAATCTGCTCTTGTGACCTTATATATTTGTAGTTATCTGATTATTTAAAAAAACAGAGTTATTTTAATGAAAAAAAAAGATGACAACAATCCACTTTTAAGACTGCATAAAGGATTGGAATTGACACATCACAAATAGGGTATATGAAAGGCAAGTAAGTCCAGGAAAAGATGCTTAATATCTGTAGTTTTTAGGGAGATTCAAACTAATACCACAACAGGACACCACTGCACATGTAAGAGAATGGTTAGAATTTAAAAGGCTGACAATAGCAGGTTTGGGTGAGGATGCCAAGCAACTGGCGCTCTCCAGTGCTGTTGATGGGACTGCACAAGGTGCAACCACTTGGAGAAAAGTCTGGAAATGGCCCAGCAATCACACATGTAGCTATTTACCCAGGAAAACGGAAGCCCACACAGATTCTTGTATGCAGATATTGGTAGTAATTTTATACATAATATTCTAAAACTGGAAGCATCCTAAATGTCTATTAACCTATGAATGAGTAAACAAATTGCAGTATTTTCCATACAATGGAATACCACTCAGAAGGAAAAAAAAAAGCACCTAAGACATTTATTAAGCTGGGTTTGAAGACTGGTGAAAGTTCACTGGGGGAACCCGAATGGATACCTGTGCCCAGAGTGGGCTACCTGCGATGCCTGTTTCTGGAACACAAAGCATTAGTTCACTCATCATTTGAGACTATGGAAAAAAGGAGCCAGAAGCCAGAGGAATGAAACTGAGCCAGTAACATTATGGACCCAAAACCTGGAGTGAACTGTGAAGATCTCTCCATTTATTCAATTAAACTCTATGAAAATCTGAGGTTAATCCCACAGCTTACTTTCAGAGAACAACAAATGCTCACTTGAGTTATTTCTGCTTTAATTGCTAGTTTAATTTCATGTTCTTCTTTGCCTCTATCAGTGGTATATTTCCCCAGATCTAAAATTCCATGAGCTTGGTTTAAATATTTGCCAGGTACCAAGTAACAATTTGGCCTAGCTCTTCCATACAGTCAAGGACAGGAAGGCATTATCTGCAGGAGAGGGTCTTCTAGGTTTCCTTCTGCAGGGAAAACCATCACACGGTTCTGTCCCCTGAGGAGAGGATCTCACACAGGTTTTGGCCCCTGCAGGGCGGGTACTCACACAGGCTTCCTGCTGCAGGTGCTGTAGGACCCTCTTGGCTGGGATGAGGAAGTCAGTGAGGCAGCGCAGCCCATCCCCACCATGGAGCCTCTCAGCCACACTGAATAGCTGCCAGAGCACAGTGGCTGCTGTGGCCTCAAAAGGTGGGTAGAGGGAAGACAGTGTGTTCTGGATATAGGTGTCAAGAGATTCCAGATCCTGAAATGCAAGAGAGGATTGGGTAAATTAAGACATCGATTAAGACAGGTACAGAGGAGAGTTTCACTGGCTGGGTATGTAAGGGTCCACTTTACAGGCTCTATCTTATGTCTGGGTATGCGAGTTGTCTTTGTGGAACAGGAAGGTGCAAGCAAATCCTTAGCATAGTGGGGAGTTCCTCTTGGAGCAATCTGCTGGCCATTCACATTGTCACACAGCAGAAGCACACTGAGGAAGTGCCCATGGCCTCAGTAGGTAGACCTGACCCATTGGCCTAAGAGGGGAACCCTAACTAACACTTTGTAAGTGAGGTTGTTGCTGCTGTCACCAGAGGCACAATCAAGTTCCACCCCATTAAATTCTGAAATGTGCACCTGAAAATGCTGTATTTTAGGGTTTCTGTGGGCATGTGGAATTTCTCAGGGGCCCTCCCTTTCCCTGGTACTCCTGGGTCTGAAGGGATTGGGGGAGGCCCCTGTGGCAAGGACAGAGCTGGTCCACATGTAATTTAATACTCAGAAAAGTTTATCTACAATGAATACATTTTAATTGTGCTGATAAGTTTTTTTTTAATTTAAACAAAACCATTAAGGCATCCTTTATCAAAATCACAGAATTATACCCACTCGTTCATTCTGAAAACAGTATCATTGGTACCTGATTTCTTCTTCATATTTTGATACAACAAGCTTTTATGTAAAGACAGAATGCTTTTAGTTTAAAAGATTTTTAAAGCTATTTTTAGATGCAACATTTCCTGAGGAAATACCACAAGGTTCATTTGTTTGGAAAAGAAATGCAAGGCTACAAATAACAGTTAAAAGTCAAAGAGGTTAAAATTGTGAAATTGATTTTTAAAGGGACAACAGTTATATATCTGAGACTCCTCCGAACTGCTAGTGCTACAGGAAACAGAAAATAAAACAGTGAGTGGAGTGGATAAGGACCCAGGCTGTCTGTCCTGACAGAAAGGTAAAGCCGTACAGTGACCAGGGAGGTGTGTGCTGCAGAAAGTTCAGCTTCTGGTAACTCCCACCACACCATGTCAGCATGGTGAGGCATTGGTTAGATATCCTCTGGAGCTCCCACACTGACAAAGGGTTCCTCATGTCTGTCTGTTCTCCTCCCTCCATATACCTGGCTCTCCCCACCAGACAGGGTCACTCACTCAGTAGGAATTATCTAAATAGTAATTGTATCCAAAAACTACCAAGGGTGGTCAGTCTAATGTCTAAAAACTCAAATCACACCTGAGCCACCAGTAAATATCCAGCCCATAAGAAGAATGGAGGTGGTCTTGAGCCAGGGGCAGGAATCATGCTCTAGACATGATGTACCTCACAAAGATCTGAAGCAAATGCTTAATTGTGATACAAGAAACTGGCAAAGGTAGAAGGGTCATGTCTTTAATGACCTATTTTGGAGGAAATAAAATGCAAACTCTGGACCCTCCCAAAGAGAGATGTCTTCCTGCTGCCCAGATACCCAAGTCCAGGCCCACTCTTTCTCCAGACTCGAAGATGTATCCTCATTCTTGTGTCTATCCGTGGTTAGTAGCCTCCCAGCAGGTCTCCTGGCCTCTGCCCCACCCACGCATCTTCTGAAAACTGCCTAATGTGAGGAAAAGGGGGGTGATACTTGCTGAGATCTCTGGGATCTCACAGCTTCCCTAGCTCCTTCTCTGCCTTTTGATTCCTGTCATGACTGAGTCAGGCCCCAACACTTGGTCTAGAGAACACCTCTTCTACCAGCTCCCACTTCCTGGGTGCTATCCCCACCCAGATCCTGGTCCAGGCAAGAGCTGCCCAAGAGAAGCTGTTTACCTGCCCAGAGGCCATCTCCCAGATTAAATAAGTTAAGGAAGTCTTGGACAAGCCAGAGGGAACACATTCTCTAGACTCTTCTTTGCTACTGTGTCCTGTCACCTGCCTCTCTGGGCACTTGATGACCAAGAACAGCCAGAGCATGATGGTGCACTCAGGGCCACTGTCTCACAAGCTCTCCAATCACTTTGCAGATCGTGCCCAATCTTGTTCTTGGGAAGAGAGGCACTGACGAATAAGCAGACTGCATGACTGGGGTGGACACAACCTGAAGGGCTATCCCAGACACAGCAGTGTGGCATGTCCACAGTACAAGCCAACCATTCCCACCTGCACACAACTCTAACAATTTAGTATTTTCAAGACCCAGAAATTATAAGAGGGGGAGGCATACATATATGACCCTGAGAGCAGAGAGGTAGAAATTATCACATTACAACAGAATCAAATTACCTGAATATATTCAATTTGGCTTAAGAGAACATGTAAGAATATAGTATATTTTAGAAAGATTTCCATAAGAAATGTTTATTTATTTATTTATTTATTTTTAATATTTTTATTTATTTCTAGGAGAGAGAGAGAGAGACAGCGTGAGCAGGGGAGGGTCAGAGAGAGAGGGAGTCACAGACTCTGAAACAGGCTCCAGGCTCTGAGCTGCCAGTCAGCACAGAGCCCGACGCGGGGCTCGAACCCACGAACCATGAGATCATGACCTAAGCGAAAGTCGGTCGCTTAACTGACTAAGCCACCCAGGTGCCCCACCATAAGAAATGTTTAAAGAGGACATTGTCTTGGTATGTTAAAGGATGGAGTTCAAACATCTAGAATATTTACTCTGTATAGTATTCTCTTCCCTGATGTTTACTAGAATGAATATATGTATGTTAGAGCTAAGTTTGTGTATGAAGGAAAATGTGTGTGCAGAGCTGGGTGTGTGTGTGTGAGGAAAAGTATGTGTGAGAACAGTGTGTGTGTGAGGTAAAGTGTTTGTGTGAGGGAAAGTATTTGTGAGAGAGAAAGTGTGTGTGAAGGAAAGTGTGTATGAGAGGGAAAGTACGTGTTGGGTAAAGTATGTGTGTGAAGGAAAGTATTTCTGTGTGTGGGAACGTGTGTGTGAGTCAAAGTGTGTGAGTGAGGAAAAGTATGTGTGAGAAAGAGTGTATATGAGGAAAAAAGTGTGTGTGAGAGGGACAGTGTGTATATGTGAGAGGGAAAGTGTGTGTGAGAGTGAGAAAATGTGCATGAGTGAAAGTGTATTTGTCAGGGAAAGTGTGTGTAAGAGAAAATTGTATGCAAGGGAAAGTGTATATGAGAGGGAAAGTGTGTGTGAAACAAGAAGTGTGTGTGAAGGAAAGTGTATATGTGAGAGGAAAAGTGTGTGCGAGGGAAAGCGTATGTGAGAAAGAAAGTATGTGTGAGGGAAAGTCTGTGTGTGGGAAAGTGTATGTGTCAAGGAAAGTGTGTGTGAGAGAAAACTGTTTGAAGGAAAAGTGTATGAGAGGGAAAATGTGTGTAAGAGAAAAAGTGTGTATGTGAGAGGGAAAGTGTGTGTGAGGGAAAATGTATGTGAGAGAGAAAGTATGTGTGAAAGAGTGTGTGTGTGAGAAAGTATGTGTGTCAGGGAAAGTGTGTGTAAGAAAACTGTGTGTGAAGGAAAGTGTGTACGTGAGAGGGAAAGTGTGTGAGAGAAAAAGAGTATGTGAGGGAAAGTGTGTGTGAGAGAAAGTGTATGTAAAAAAGTGTGTATGAAAGGGAAAGGGTGTGAGGGAAAATGTGTTGAGGGAAAGTGAGTGTAAGAGGGAAAGCATGTGTGAGGGAAACTGTGTATGTGAGGAAAAGTATGTGTTGAATGCCATTGTGTGAAGGCATCTGAAGGTGTGTGTGTGTGAGTAAAGCCATAGTGAGCCAAAAGAAATACTGGAGGCAAATCCTCAGAGCAGTTCCTCTGCCTTTGGGTGTCCAGGAAGAGAAGGGAGCAGCCTCAAGGTCAGGGAGAAAGCCTATGCAGGCACCTGTCACCAGTTCAGCCTGTGCACGCTCCTTCTGTAAGGTGTGACTCGCCCATTCACTCATTCTGGCACACCATCAGGACGTGCAGAAACAGGAGGGAGGAAAGCAGACAACTGCAGATGTCATCACTTTGCCGATGGTTGATTTCTTCTCCTGATATAACTCAGGATTCCCGTTTCAACCAAAGGCTAACTTTAAAACTAGGACCTTTGCCTGTTTACTTGATCCTAAACCTTACTGTGGCTTAGGATATGATTCTCTGCAGATGTATGTTGGTGGATTGGTGACATAATACTGGTATAAGGCACTTAATTACCATTTTGCTGAACTATGAATAGGTGTGTTGTTATTTGCATTTAAATAAAAAAAATTATGTCTGGAGCAACATTGTAGGGCTTTACTCTTCAATGAAGGATTTATTTTCCCAGCTAAATTTGGGTAAAATTTTATTGAAAGAAGGGTGAATTTTTAAATCTATACCCTTGTCTCTCACAATGCCTGCACATCCCATGACTAAGCATGTTCTGCCTGGCACCTAGTCCACAGGAGATGATCTGGCCTCAGTGTACAGCCCCTCTCTGCAACTCTCCAGGCCTCACATGTCCTGAAGATGAGAAGACTGGAGCTGGGGATCCACAGGCCCATCGGTGCCCACCCTGTGTGGGCCAGTCTCAGAGATGCCAGAAAGACACCTGGCTGCTTGGTTCTAAGCCATGCATCAGCTGGAAATGGCATACTTCATCCCCCCAGGGGGCAGGTAATATGCTAAATGTCAAAGCCAAGATAATTCTCATTTCAAGGACCGTGTGGAGCTAAAGAAGACCAGCTGATGAATAAGGCAAGAAAACAGCAGGGGCGCCCCATCCAGGGCCTGGCAGGCCAGGAAGGGGGGGGGGAGTGGGCTGCGGCTGGCCTGGCAAAGACTGCCCATCGGTGCTCACATTTTCACTCAAATGTAACATCCCTAAAGATGACTGAAGGCACAGAGTTGTGGGAGTGGTTGTTGGCAGGGTAGGTTGGCCTGGACGTCAGGATCCTTTGACCTGCCCAGAGGACCTGCAGCGCTTACTGTGGGGACCACTGCTGCCTCTTAGGAAAGGGCACCCTAAGATGAGAGACTGCTAGATAGTCAGGTCCCCCAGCAGGCAGTGCACAACCTGGGCT